TTACTTGCGTTAAAATTCTAGAAGAATGCTTCGTTAACGAAGCACAGTATTGCCACAGCTTGTCAGGGTCAGTTCGCAAGAACCACAGGTACTAGACTATGTGAATGAGAAATATCGAAGTGGAAAATATTTTACGTATAACCACAACCCAAGAAATGCATTGGGACCCACGGGATCGTAGTCACCGATAACCATAATAATGGCTAATCAATCTGAAGAGAGTGTCCATCAAAAAGAGTATCGCATCTGTATAAAGAACAGTGAAACAACGTTAGAATAGTCAAATGTTACATTTATATTAATCACAGTTGCTTGAAAACCAAGCATAACACAACCACACAAGACTGCACACGATAGCACCTCCCTATGACAATTCAATTGACCACCATTGTTCTGACCATTGAAAGACGAGAAAACCAGAAGCGAGGTAGATTTAAAACACGATAACGTTTATCTTCACCCGATTTTATACAGAGTCCTGATATGGTGACATTGGAATTTTAAAGGATGCTGGGTTATCACTAGCTAAAGCCTTGAGTGATTATATGGTATATATATAATTCTCACTGTAGCTTGGTGCAACTTTCAACAGGTGGCTAGTTTCCTTTCCGAGCAATCAATGAAATAATATTTACAATGATACATTGAGCCATCGAGGTAAATGTTTAGAGAATATGCATATACACAATGCACCTAATGCAGAGAGGAAATTCACCAGCAATGTTTGCGGCTGTAACAAGGAGACATTCCTTGAACCAACGTTAACAAAACATATCTAGACATTTAGCTTGTCTCCACCTGTTGGAGATCCTTACAATTAGATGGGTTACACCAATACTCAGTGAGTTGTCTCATAGTAGTAGTAGCCCAGCAGGTGTTAACACTTCGAACTCATCATTGTTTCGGCTGAGTGAAACCAGAGGTCTGTTATTTATAATACGTTCAGCTCCTATCAACGAAGTCATTAGAGTTTCATCAGTCAACGGTTGTTCATCAGCCAGTCCTAAACCCACCCTAATGACTTGGAGTCGGTGGGTTGAAACGCTAGTAAATGCCTTTACTCAGTAAAGTATAGTGTGTTCTCTGTTGCTTCCATTCCCTTAAGCGACTACCTAATTCCATTTTCGTCCCTACCAAACTGGTTCCAATGTCACTAAATATATCCCTTCGATGTCCTCTCTTACCAATAAACCTCATCAGCGCCATTATAAACGAGCTCATGGAGAGATAGTGCGCTGCCTGTAAATGTACAGCTTGTCACTTAAGATGAATGAAACCACAGTCGTATCGTTTTTAACATCTCCTATATAGTGTCACTATTATCCGCCCGACGTAGTCAATACCTGCTGAAGAGGAAGGATAGCTGTCCATCTCGCTTCTGATCGTCAGCGTGGGTGCCATCGGCTGGTACTCTGACTGGGCATTTCTTCCTCTACACCTCAAGCAGTTTCCGATGATCTTAATCCTTCCTACACCTCTTAGTATCCAAAACCTTCATTTAACAGTTGGCGGCACCTGCGTAGTACTTACATCCCCTTCTATTTATGGCAGTGTTTTAGAAATGACTCTATGACATTATGTTTCCAAGGCAGTATTACTGGGCGTTACCCTTCATTTGGCCAAGACGAGTTTCGAAATTCACCGCTCACATAAGTCTGGCCGTGTAATAAAATAAGGTGAAGTCTGCGCAGAGGCAAATGAAACTTTAGTACTCTCGAAGTACAAGATGACATTAACAACCTATCTTCCTTCTTAAACTCTGTCACCTGAACCATTCTTATGATGTCCATCCTAGTATACTGTAATGCTGAAAGATATTATCAGCGTATAACATTTGAATCGAACCAACCTATTTGTTGCTTTTAGCACCTGTTCCAGTAATACATACAGCGATCCAAACCCGAGTCAACTTGTGTGACATTCGCCACCGCTCTGGTGTTTATCTCTATTTGATTGCCGTCTGGTCCCTTGGTTGTGCCTGACTCCGGCCACTCAACTGGGCAACAACTTGGGAATGTAGGACCATCGCGGCATCGCTGAAGATATTCATCCTTAAAGATCACTCCACCATATGCAAAATCTGTGACACTCTCCCTTGGGCGCACAAATTTTCAGTAATAAACTTTAAAGGGATGGTAAATTGTTGACACTTGGTTAGCAACGAATGTATTATATCGATTATTTCCCCTATTAGTTTAGTACAAGGCAGTTTTCCAGCCAGCCCAAAACATCAATATAAAAATAACGTTTTATTTCCTAACGCAGCAAAAAACTCATGTGTGTTGTTAAGATGGCTGCAGCCAGTTCAAGCCTTGGTGCTGTGTGAACTTTAGAAGGTGCTGTCCTAGCTTTCGCCATAATAGGACGACAAGAGGATTTTCTGTGTCTTTTAGAATGCTCAATATAAGCTGCTGCTCCATAACCACCTTCAGAGGCATTGCAAAAGAAACGTTACTCCCTAGTTGGCCGATCCATGTACAGATGTCGTACACAATGCAGAAATGATACGTTCGCAGTCATTTGAAAACTATTCAGAAATTTGATGCAGAGCTCGGTGTCATGCTCAGGTATTTTATCGTCTAAATCCAGGCCCAGTTGGTTTAATCCTTGTGATAGCTGTTTTACAGGTAAAAAGGAAGGCGCTAAGAAGCCCAGAGTGTGATACAATGAGGCTATCACTGATGAAAGTCCTCGCCAGGTTATGGGCTTATCACGTATACAGATTTTATAAACAAAGAATCTTCGTCTGCACCTCATGACAAACCGAACTTGCGTTCGATGGGATGTTTTATAGCCTATTCCTCTCACTGCTGGCTTAACTTCTTCTGACAGTATAGACTCTACTACTTGCATGGATTTGCAGACCCGCCTCGTCAGTCTATTAAGTCTCTTCGCAAGAGCAGACCTCGTCTGTCCTACTAGGAAATAGCCTGTTCAAGGTTATCCACTTATGTCTAGTAGAAGCCCACACGTACTCGCCTTTCGACGATTCTGGGAGCTATACTTGATCTCTCGCTACCCGAGATCCCAGCAGTCTTTTCCAAGGCATATTTTGCACCGATAAATGACAAGGCACTGAATGGATGAACAACTGACTCATACTCAGAAGCCCTTTGAGTTATATCGCCGCCGTTCCACTGTAACAGATGAAAAGCTCCTCTGTCTTGTTTTGGAATCTTCATCTGAAAGAATTTCTTCTCCGTCAGTGACAATCGCTATAACACCAACTTGGAGGCGAAAAAGTATCCCATCTGAAGTGTTTGCGGTATTCGGTACACGTAATAATTGATCATTCAAAGATGTACCATTGTGTCGCAAAGTCGAAGTTTAAGTGAAGCTTTTCAGGCTTTTTCAGATTCATAACTGGATGATGAGGTATATACCACTGTATTCTTTCCGGATGAGAATACATTGCAACCAATTCTACAATGAATCCTAACAATGAAAGCCACACCTTAACAGTCTTGAGGCAGACATCTTTCAAGGCAGTCGAATCTGTGACTCACCATTCTGAGGTTGCCTGGCAGATTAGGAAGTTAATTCTTCCGTAGTAATCCTACCCCATAGTGGCTGTCACCAAGTCTGGAGGAATGAGCAGCCACCTCCGGTGCTCTTTGACCCTTTCAGAATGTTCCCCTCTTAGACCATCCTTGTCCTTAAATTCGCCATCACATAACCCTTGTAGATTTTTCTGTATTCCTTGGTTCCGAGAGATGTGGCAGCATAAAACTTTAGGTGCCGCCTCACACGAAGTTTTGGTCCTCATATAATCCGGCCTAAAATCATTGTAATAGTTAACAGTTGCTTGCTGCCCCCAAACCGTTGTTCGAGAACCCAATGCGGATCTGAAACATCAATGCCAACCAGGAAACTAACTGTGCTTTCCTCCGTACGTGACAGCCTAATATCTTTCAGATGTTCACATGCCTTTAACTGCGCCCCTGTGGGGTGTTGTCCGGTAGGTATTGGTAAGTGAGGTATTGTTTACACATCGCCTATTTTCAATGAGCCCGTTTTATCTAAGGAAAATGGCTCCAGAATAACTCCAACACAGTCGTGCTGCGAGTCTCCACTTGTCGTCCTTGACCTTGAGTCATCTCCCTGATTGCTCAACCCCTTAACTATCTTTTCAAAAACAGGGGACGTGTCTGACCAGCTACCTAGGACAGCATACGTTTCCAGACACCCCTTCAGGACAGAAAATTTCATTGGTGATAGACAGAAATACACCCCCTAAGAATCATTCTTATGACCAAAATGTACTACCGAACTTGTGGCCTTATTACTCTCCTGCAATTGTTATAGTGTGATGCCGCACCTAGCACCAATCTACCTTGCACTTATATTGTACCGGAATACCTGACAATATAGCTCACCTGAGATAAACATTACAGACATTTAACTTCTTAGCGGTTCATCCCTTCTCACTTCATTTTGAGACACACCACTAGGCTATGAAAACCCTTACATGAAGTGCAGCCTTTAGATTCCCCTATAATACTCTGAGGCTGCCTCGTTGATTCTGTTTCCTTTTTGATGAAACACATGAGCTGGAACGCATTTATCCTATCCATACCTTCATAGCCCGGGGAAATGCATTTTGCAGCCAAATATATAGCTATAACGGTGATCCGTTAATCACGGATGGAAATAGTAGCACATCTAGCTCAAAATGCAATAAAACACCACGAAAATTTCTCGCTTCTTTCACTCTCATAGCTGACTCTCAAGGGAAGTGTTATGTGCATCCCTAGCCTACTGGCTCAAGAGGGGTATGCGCAAGCAGAGATGCTTAACAAATCGAATAAACTCAAAGCCTTTTATCCATATAAAAAACTATTTGAAACATGTTCACATGCAAGTTTGATTTTCGTTAATTATCGAGATACTGAATGTTTCGTGTTAATTCCTAGAGTCTTTGACTATTCACCTATAGGAATACGTCGTCAGTCAACAAATTCTGTAGTTGAGGTTTCCATTCATTCTTTAATCCCAATAGACTGTTTGACACTGATTATTCACAGTTGCGGTTAATTCGAACTGATGACGGTACGTGCATGCTGCTCCTTCTGAGCAGTGTGAGGTAGTTAATAACTATCTATTCTAAACCGCTAAGTCCATATTTTACCATTAGTTTTTGTTATCTTGATATGTAAGTGGTGCACCTTTCTAATGGTTTCAGTACAGAAGAGGGGTATTATGTGATGTGCTCCGCAACTCCCGTCAAAATCGTATACAAGGGACCCAATTACAAATGGTAGTGTTAGGATTTTTGATTGTCCGTTGAAAAAAATTCGTGTTTCCGTTTCGAGCACTTAGCCGTGATATATACAAATTGATTCTACATACCAGCTTAAGTTAGTGTCCCTCAATTATTAGTTACAGTCGCTGAATGAACTGCAGACGTTGTATACAGGGTTAAGTCCTATTTATAGGTTTGGCACAATACTGAACTGTAGGTTTCACGTTCAATCGAATATAAGCAATGTTTTCTTTACGCGCAGTTGCTGTATAAGTTGACCGAACGATGCAGTGAAAGAGCATAGAATTGTTGTGCACATTGAATGTTTGGACCTTAGTGACAGTGAATAATGTAAGCGTTAGGAGTGTGAATCCTAGGTTGCGCTAAGGATGATAGCAACTGTCATCGAAACAACTCAGGAGCCTAATCATGCCCTAAATGATGTTATCTTGTTCCTGTGATTTTTCTGTATCGCCGCAATGATAGTGAGAGTATAACAACCGTTTTAATTTCGGGTGGTCTCTAAGGAACGGTTTTATTTCTGTCAACACTTGATATGCACTGTGTAGCTGATCAGACTGCCATTAGTTAAAGCGTCTCATCACGGAGTGAATAAATTTGTTTCTGTGGGATATTAGAAAGCGCACACAGTCACGAATCAAGCTTGTAGACTTTTGTGATTTAGTTTTGAACGTGACAATTTGTTGATATAGTACATGTGCGTTGTATTAATTTTACTTATACGAAGAATGTCTTTCTTTTATTTCATTCTGTAGAAAGTTTTCATTCTTTATGAGCACGCCTTAGGGTATGCGTTGTTCCGGGTCAAAGTAAAATCGGGAGAATCATCCAACTTAGTAGAAGCATTAAACGTACTTGCTCAAGAGTTGTTAAATAATGAAGAAGAATTCCTAAATACTTTCAAATTGCACGCATTTGCACCATTTACCTCATCAGCTAGCGCGCTGCAAAATTGTAACGGTATATCGGAGGGGATTGTTCCGATTGAACTTAAAGCATTTATTGAAGCGAATTTGCCGTCTTCGAATGTATTACTTTGTGTTGCAGACCGCAAACTAGCTGAATCTATCAAAGATCCAGAAATAGGATTACCAGAAAATATTACTTGTTCATCTGAATCCGTTCTTCATGAAGTTTACAGGGCACTCCGAGTATACTTCCCTAAATATATCAATGCGTTGTCTCATTTTGATGAATCAAAAGCGCAAATTGGTCTTGGGCATAGTTACTCTAGAGCCAAAGTGAAATTCAATATCTACAGGTTTGTTCAATATTATCTAATTTTTGCTTAGGAATGACAATATGATAATCCAGTCAATAAATTTATTGGATCAGTTGGATAAGGATGTAAACAATTTTTGTATGAGAGTCAAAGAGTGGTTTTCGTATCACTTCCCGGAATTGACGAAAATTGTTCCTGATAATGCTACTTTCGTCAAAGTGGTGCGTTTGATTCGTACCCGTGATGGTGCATCTGAAGACAATCGTGAGGCCTTAGCAGCTCTGACCGATACTCAAGTTGCTTCTGATATTATTGAATCCGCTAAATCATCTGTTGGTACGTTAACATAATTTACATAACTCCACCTAAAGGTTTTGATATTACGGATGATGATGCTGAAAACTTAGCAACTTTCACTGAAAAGATCATTTCGCTCATTGAACGGAGAAGACTGACACAAGACTATTTGGCTAAAAAGCTTGTTGGAGTAGCTCCGAACTTGAGCACGATGATTGGTGACAGAGTTAGTGCAAGGCTTATTGCCCACGCAGGGTCTCTTACGAATTTGGCTAAATTTCCTGCCTCAACTATTCAAATACTAGGAGCAGAAAAAGCTTTGTTCAGAGCCTTACGAACCCATGGCTCTACACCGAAATATGGGTTGATTTATCACAGTCCTTTCATCACTCGTGCTTCACGGGAGAACAAAGGAAGAATATCAAGGTTTTTAGCTGCAAAATGTGCTATAGCGTCTCGGATTGATTGCTTCAGTGAAGTACTATGTGATATATATGGCAAACACTTAAAGCAACAAATTGAAGACAGGTTGAACTATTTCGAAACCGGTACTGCACCACCTACTAACGCTGAAGCGATGGCACGTGCGATAGCTGAGGTAAGTAAACATCGACATTTTTACTCATCTATTTTTTTTAAGTGTTACATAAATGGTATACAAATTATTTTAATTCACTTACATATGTTGCAGTCTTAATAAGAAATTGAACATGTTATCAGCTTCTAAGCAAACCTAGTTTATGGATGAAGGTTTTACCAATAAGCTAACATATTCTTGAATAAACAATATTAGCATTACGTCTCCCCACAAAATCAAAAGTCGATTAAATCACCATTTATGCAATTAATTGTTTTATGTTGGCTGTGCTTTTAAATCTAAGGATTAATTGCAAGTCTTCATAAAAAATAGGGATAAAGCAGTAGAGGCTTGTAATGTGGTTTGCATCTCTTGTGCTCTGATGACTTTTCAGTCAAAACAACCCGTAGTTATTGAGTCCCCCATTGCCAAGAAATAATTAAATATCTGTACATAGCAGTCTGTGGCAAACTTTGCTGTCGTCACGTACACGTGGCGCATTAAAATTTTTACGTCAGTTTGTCACTCCTTTTGTTGGCAATTTTATGTATCTGAGCTCTAATATTTTCTGATGAAATGTGTATAAGGTGACCTAATGTATTTGCAGCTTTTTGTGGTATTGAATTCTGAGATTACTCATAACACATATCAGAGAGTATTTAGTAGTATTAAGAGACACTAGAGGATATCGCTTGCCAAAGTTTTAAGTATGTACCGAAGGTGTGGCAGTGTAAATTCAAATTCTCAACTGATTGTATTGAAACAATTCTAAAACTTGAAAAATCGTTCCTGATTTGAATTTTTCACTTTTGTTGCTCACGTCAGGTAATATTTCATAGTAATGATTTGTCATATAATCATTTTCACGGATCACTTTGTCAGAAATAATTTGAGCATTTTGTAACAAGTTAACGTAGAATATCATGGGAACAAATATGGCTTTAGATCAAGATACCATTTCACATCAGCACCAAAGGAGAAAGTCGATGAATACAAAAACTCAAAGTAAACAAGAGGAGGTTTTTGAGAGGAGAGCAGATAGCAAAGAGTAACAGTATGTTTAGGTAAGATAATCACTAAATACATCTACATCATTGTGATCAGTTTTAAGCTGCGTTACTTAGTGTCTTCTATCCTTGATCCATAGGATATCAGAAAGCTTCCCATAAGCGACAGTAATTATAGTAATAACAGGTAAGTGAAAAATAAACTAGTAATGACTGCAAAGGTAGGAAAAATTGCTTTTTCCATTTGTGAGAATCAGTAAATAAACAAAGTGAATAATTTACCTTATGACCCGAGGGATATGCTTTTAACTCTTGTTACTTGTGACATTTGGAAAGTTTCACCAACCAAGACATGTTTTAGGATAGGGAAAACGCGATTTGTAATTTTTTGACTTCCTAAAATCTGTATCCTGCAGACATGCAAGCATGTGCAATCACATTGAGTGACTGACTGGTTTCAAAGTAGAACTTTGCGCAGCAGTTCGAGCTGCCACACTCCGTGTAGCACACAAAGCAAGAGAAGAGAGTAACGAGAGATTCAAATGAAAGATAAATAAAATTATGAGGCGAAAATAATAGTAATATGGGAAAACGATAGAATTTTATTGATATTATAAATAACATAGTGAGTGCATCTGCACGAGCCATTCAGAACGATTTCGAGCCATATCACCGATTGTCTCCAGCCATTCGTTTATACCACCCTGAGGATCCCAACCACAAAGTTTACACCTCCCCAAGTGATTGGCCTGAACTAACTGTTGTGGATTTCATTGACTGATTGTATGTTTTAGTTTGACCATCGCTAGCTGTTTTCTAGCCTGACCCCTATGTCAGCTAACATTGCCCATTGTCGAGGAAGGCGATTGATAGTTGGGCATGCATGCGTAACATATATCCTAACCATCTCAATCGATGTAGCTCCGTAGCCTCGTTGGTTGATTTTCCCTCCTCACCTAGTCTTCGACCGAAGCCTAACACCAATATTGCTCATCCTGTTATACCACTTAACACGGAAGACAGAACGCAGGCACATATGGTCAAAGACAGCTAGCCAGGCTTTTCATGTGTTATACTTCCAATAGCCATGTCTCACTCACAGCCATAAATGAGGATGATGAGAACTGCTAAGCAGCACGTACGTCTTTTGGTCGACATCTGGATATCACGTCTACGCCAAAGATGGTATAAAGTGGCATATGACAAACGAGCTTTCCGTATCCGTGCTGAGATTTCGTCAGCAACCCGCTGGCACTGGTTGATGCAACACACTTCACTACTTCACTTCCTATTTCTAAGCCAGAAGATAATGTAGTCCAGTTCTGTACCATCATCTCACATTTGACCGGAGCAAATCGTATGCCAAACATTCGAAGACTGCATTTTTGTCAATGTCTTCTACTAGAAGGGAGGACTATATCACCTGCGTATTCTAAGTCAACGAGATTATTTCTTGGTGATAAGTCGATTCCTGAGACGCCTAAATCAATTAGAGTTAAGTCCATTAGTACATCTATGATGAAATTAAACCAAAATGAGGACAGTGGGCATCCCTGACGGACATCACTGGTTGTCACCACTTCAGATGAAAACTCTCCATAGGCTCTCAACTGACTGACTTCATGAGTTCGTCTAGAGTGCCGTGATCATTGCGATGTATTTTGTCGGTATTCCCCTCAGCCAAATATCTCCATAGTGCCTCTCGGTAGACGGAATCGAATGCAAGTCAAGAGATGTAAAGTGAACACATTGATGATTCAGTAGAAAGGTACTTCTTCAAACACATATTCCCATTTCGTTCTTATTGTTGTTCTCACATACGACGTGTCCTGTTTTGTTTTTATCATCTTTATTTCCAACATCTGTTCATTGTTTGGAATCTCATTATATTACTGTGAGTCGCCAACCAGTTGTTCTTAGGAAGCTTGGTAATGGACAATACCATACTGATACCTCGTATCCTTCTGAAGCTTGGTAGCAGACCAGAAAAAAGGGTGATCGTTTTCTTCACGGGTTTCACTTTTTATAATCCTATTGAATTTCTCCCCACCTTTATGCGCTACATGTTGTGTAATTACTTGAGTTGAAAATTGAGACAGCTAGTGAAATAGCTTGTAGTCATAACCCATTCCTGTTATCATCATCATTGGGCTACTTAGGGTCCTCTTTGTACTCAGGCCAGTGCTTCTGTGTTTGAGAGTCGGCCAGAAAAGATATTCGACGAAGAACTTTAGTAACGAATCAGCCATGAAGCGGTTGCCCATTAAATTTTGAGAAAGAAATGAAGATGGATCGAATATGCTTTGGTGAGATACTCAGGCACCAGACCTGTAAGTGGGAGTTGAGTTGGGAGCGACAAACTGGGCGTCTAAGTGTGACACCAAGGAGATCATGTAATGAGGTGGAAATGAAAGCCTGTTCGCAACCATGGAGACAGTTAAAAGAACGGCAGAGAACAGAATCAAATGTGCCGCCTTGTGTCCCACTAGGAACTCAGAAAATGAGTAATGGACGAAAACCCTATATTCTCTGACGTGAAAAGTGGAATGGTGTCAAAAGCCTCAACACCAAGAAAGTGGGGATCATTTCTCTTTTCTCCAATAAATGCTTTTTATGAATACCTATCTAGCTTCAGAATTTCTGTACTAGCAAGCTGTTATGTTTTTACTGGGGGCTATACGAATAACTTTCTGTTTTATGCAACCGATTAATTTACCAGTAAGTTCTCTAAATGATCTAAGTAATCAGTCAATGTTAGAAGCTGATGATGGGATTATTGCATTCAATAATGTATTTACATTATGTCTAATATCTGTTTCTAAACAAGCGCTTCACTTTCCTTTTTAATAGGTTAATAAATATATTCGCAGGATGAAGAAAAAAGCAATTAAAACACTAAACAAAAGAGATTCAGATAGTCAAGAAGAGGCTGTTGCGGAAGCGACTGTAACTGAGGGTAAGAAAAAGAAGAAGAAAAAACGCGAGACAATAACTGACGGTGCTGGTGATAATATAGATCACGAGACAGCAGAGGACAAAGTTAATGAAGTTCATGAGTTGTCTACTCATTTGAATGGGGAACTGAACGATGCAGAAGGCAAAAGCGTTGCAAAGAAGAAGAAGAAAAAACGACATAATTCAGAGTCGGTTGGTGCAGATCAGTCTATGAATGGAAGCCTTACAGAAACCATGCCTAAAAAGTTACCATCAGGGCGTAAACGATCGGCTTCCGAATCAAGTGTAGTTTTGGCTGATGAAAGCTTAAATTCTGTTAAGAAGAAAAAGAAAATACATATGTTGGACAATTGAAAAGTATCGTTTCTGCCTTTTGAATTGTACATATAAGTAGTGAGACTATTTTCTTGAAATAAAAATTTTGACAAGTTTGCTTATTTGTATTCCAGATTTGGTAGATTTCTTTAGATTACTGTAATCTTTTCGAACGTTAAGCTACCACACTCTAAAGAAGATACGCTTCAGTTGAGCACTGCGATAAATGTCTCTCAATGAATAGGAAACTTCACTCTTAATTAATACATGTTGATTTCAACCTTAGCCGTGTGCTGGCGTCCGGGTGACTGAGTTTTTCAACATCAGTTGTGAGCCATTGTGTATGGAATCATTTGGATAATCACCTGATAAAGCTAACCATAGATATGAAATGCTTTCTCAAATGATGGCTTTTTTAATGATGTACTTTCATGCTATCAGTATACGAAATCTGAGCGTTTTTGATTGCCTGGTTTATGGCCGACACCAACGAGAGTTTCTAGTAAGATAGTTTATCACTTCCAAACTTCTTGAGAGAGATTCGAAAGTAATATAATGAACAGAAATGTACAGGAGAAAGAATAGTAACATGGGGAAAGATGAGGGTTTAGTGAATGTAGATAAGTGCATCTGCGCCACTGGGAATGGAATTTGAGCCATATCACCAGTAGTTCCCGGCTCTTGCTTAGTATAGTTTTATCTGTTTGTTTGAGATGCATACAAAGAAAATGCTCAGCAGAAGCACACTGACGGTTTATTATTCCAACTGACAATCAAATATTTTGGAATCTTCGCACACTAACTTTCGACGTTTTTAATGGGTAACTGGTGTCGAGCGTTTAACAGTTAGAAATATTTCATTGACACGAATTAAGCTACTTATGAGTAAGTAGAATAAGCTAAAAGTGAAATATATCTACCATTGCATTAATGACGTTTGACCACCTACGTATTTTTATTAAGTGCTTGTCAGACTAAGTGTAGATATTATATTTTAGACCAGATGAAAGTGAAAGTTGTTGTAAGAGCAGGATTTTTGCACTACGGTTCCAAATTAGATGAGTATACAATAAGCAGTACAGTGACAGTAATAATACCTGGATTATTAATCCTTTATCACTGTTTTACTTCAGTTAAATCACCCAGTATGAGAGTTAATAAATGTCTCTACAATTAGTAAGTCTTCCAAAAATAACATCGGATAATATTTAGGCAGTTACTTCCGATGTTAAAGGTTTATCACAGGCTAAAAATCATTTAACCGAATGAGTTTTTAATGTAGAACTTACCACCGAAGTGCAGCAGTTCAACGTGCCACGCCATAACTAAACGCGTGTCTGAGATTGATAGTGATACCCATCCTGCAGGAGCCTGGAAAAGTATCCAGTCAGCCCTAGGAACTGGCAAAATGCTGTTGATAAGCTGAAACCAAAGATTAGCGAATGCCTATGGATATCTGCTACACCATTCTAGCTGACAGACTCAATAAGATCGATTCCAGTGGGCTCCGAACATGATGCAGTATGTTTGATGTGTGTTTATTTGGGGACCATGTGGTATCAGTGTCCGGCCTAGATGGTGCATCACACTCAACTCTAGAGCTGAAGCTGTATCACTGGACTGGGTTCCAGTTTACTGTTGTTTATTCTATCTTAGACTTGAAGGCTATATTGGAGTAACAGGAAACAGTCCAGAAAGGTGTTGTCTTCCATCAGCTCTACCTAGGCACTATCAGACCGCAGCTCAGCTATAGTTAGGGTGAGCTCATGCGAGCACGTTGGAAAGATATCTTTATACAAGCTGGGGAGTTGAATGCATAGTAGAGATCCATTTAGGTGGTTACTGCCAACTCGATGGCTTCAAATCAGAGAATGGAGGCTGTCTTCTTTATCTTCGCACAGATGATATACTACTTTTTATCAACACCAACTTCCATCACTGTCTAGCGTTCTCCCTTGTTCACTTAAGCATACACTCAAATTGATCATATTACTATCAGCTACTGACGGTATGGGTGCATACAAGACTACCGTTCTTGATTCCAGTCATTCCTAACTGTGTTCCACGTTCGCTACTGTTTTATGGTGATTATAAACGTAAACTGGTTGACCTGCTCCTGAACTCAAATATCGGACCACGGTAGGCACAGGGCTAACCTTCCAGAGACCATGAACTCACACTTATTACACTTAGAAAAAGCTGAAAAAATGAATAGTGAGGTTGCTTGTTACTTGGAAGAATTGGGTCTCGCAGAGATCCTTGCAAGGTCTTGATACCCGTTGGTGCGTTCCAGCAGGTAGCATATACAATAATAAGACCTTACATGAATGCACCGTTGCAAAGTTACTGTGACTGTCAAAGATACGGCTCACAATGCTTCAGTTTGTGCACTCTTGCTGTATATCTGTGAAACCTGGACTCCGACCATTGCTGTTTCTAGTGGCATCACTGAGTAAGGAGCTCTTAGATACAACAACAAATTTGGAAAAGGTGGAGTTAGTCTTTAATAAGTGTTGTCATCTCCGGACATTAGTTTTGGTTGATTGGACGTAGACATAGTTCTCTTAACGTTCATAGTTCGCTAGATCTGGTACTGGGTGGGAAAAGAGGTTGAGTGATTGGACTACGAAGCGACGGCCTGGGTTGTAGGATGCGTGTATGGGGTTCGCATTTGTTGATGCATCGCGAATCCGTATGTGGAGCCTGAAAAACCATCCAAGTCAGTGATTCAAGATGTTTTCAGGTATGGCTAAGAACTGAAATTGGAGGCGAATGTGCTGTTTCTCCCCTCTTTCTAAATATAAGACGAAATGATGAACGCATCTTTGAATGCTCCTGATAAGTATGCTCAGTTATCTTATTTCTGTTTTCATTACATCATTGTTTTATTATTTCTACATGATGTATCTTTTAGTGTCAATACTCTACCAAGTTTGTTTTAGGTTAGTAGCTGGAAGGTAGTTTGGACCTATTAAATGTACGATAGTGCAGCAGGACTAATCTTCACCCAAATTAAAATATTAAAATAGGACTTTGTTAACTTTACCAAAAACATACATCCTACTGGGGTTATTAGTTTCTGTCAGTGAATTAAACCATTGAGACTCATCTAAAAGCGGCTTTATTTGGCGCATAAAGTCTACCGTGGATTTCCTAGCTTTATACATGAAACTGTCTGTTGGTTCTTTAATTCTCGGGGTGTGTCTAAATGATTTAATTTAAAGCCTAAAACAAATAACCCTAGTAGGATATATTATGTTAAAGTTCACAAACCACGACATCCCATAAAATCTATAGTTGATTTTAGAAACTCTCCAACACGGGATATAAATAAGTTTTTCGCTCACATCAACTCATCAGTAGATGAAATTCAATTCAATTTTCAGTGGGAAAGTAATGAAGATGAGATTCCAATGTTAGTTCATATCATAAAAAAACAGTATGGGAATTTAAATACTAAGGTTTGCAAAGAAACTAACCGATATTTGGTTCGCCTGATCCCATGTAAGTGAGAATGGGGCTAATGAAATGTTTGAGTGATAGGGCAAAACAACTTAACAGTATGAAATAGAATCTACGGAAGGAAATCAGACACATGAGAGAAGCTTTGGCACCTAATAATCACCCTAATAAGTTAAACGGGAAGTATATAAGAGATTATAAGAAATTTCTGATGGGCACCTTTAATCAACGAAAAAAAGTAAGATAACGAAGATGCAATGCATGACAAACATATAAAACCCACAACAGAATACTTAAAACACTGATAGTGCTACTATGCGGACAGGAAATCTCTGAAATCTTAAGCAGGATTATCAACCAGGCAGTAATAAAAGTGGCATTCGAACGCACAAATTAATTTAGAAACATATTATGCCTGTTAAAGAATCCTGTGGGACCCATTAGAGAAAACAGTTAAGTTTGTCTAATGCCCTATTATGACTGTGAGGCCCAACAGAAAGGTGAAAATAGTAGTCAGGGATGAATCAGATTAGCAAAACACAAAATCCTGGTGAAACACAGACCAGTAGACTCTAGTAAGACAAGAAAACTGGAAAATAGCCTAGCTATAGCACAGTATGAAGTTACTCACAACCAGACAGTAGGATGCCACAAGGTGATAGAAGAGGTAAGATTGATAACTGAAGCTTTATTTATTTATTACGAATGATTGCACACAATTCCTAGATATCTGGCAAGTCCTACAAAACTCACGATAAATGTGAAGGAAGAACGAGAATTGTATAAATCAAGTTGCAAAGTTGTGTAGTTATAATCAGCGTGATGATGAACAGTAAATTGCGCTCTGAATATCATTCAGAAAGGGATACTGTTTTATCGTCCTAAACATCCAATAAATAAACTAATGTGGCTCCAATTTTCAACCACACTTAGATTAAAGAAATGGAGTGAAATCGTTGCATGAATTGATTCCTTTACTTATTAATAGCTAACACTATCAAGAGTTTTGTTCCATGTAATAAAAAGTTCATTTTTCCCAGGGCAATTTTTTGGAAAAATGAGTAGTTACGGTAATTCTGAAGCATTCCAAACAATTCTAGTACACAAACACACTTCGGAAGTGAACTTTACGCCAAAAAGAATCAGCTATTCACACTAGGCAGATTTGAAATTGTGCGACTATTCTGATGAATTACATTCTTTGTTGATTCACAACGAAGTCCACTTTATCCACAGTTATGTAGATCAGGGGATGTATACTTACTCGTAACCTTAACAAAAAATAAACAGAGGAATAGTATCAAGACCAGAGGAATTGTAGTAACGTATGAGATTTTGGTAAGACTGAAAATATAGTGTTTGACATCTAGGTTATATATATATATATATATATATATATATATATATATATACATAATGGTTAGAAAAATAACAATGTGGAGAAATTGGTTGGACTGCTGACTTGCATTGAATAACAGAGATCTAAATTTTCATAGTGATTTGAAAAAGACGGCTTTATTTTCGATATTTAATATCAAGTAAGACAGCTGGTTGGTAATGGCAACAACCATATTACATTATTCATAAATATGCATTCCCTAATTTCTAAAATCTTGTTTGAAAGAAGCCAAAAGATTACATTCCTCCTTATTACGAGAAT